CAGACCATTAATTAGAAAAACCCCACAAAACCATGAGTGTGTGACTCTGCCCTCATCTCTTGTCCCTACAGACACTTCCTCTGCTGCAGACTGAGTTTTTGATCAGTGTTGCACAGTTTGGATGACCTTTCTCCAATCACTGAAAACACTCCAAGTGGAATTAGCTTCTTCTTGTTACTTACAACAAAAATGCTTTGCAAAACTTCTGTGTTTATTCAATACAAAAATGACAAGCATTCATTGCTTACCTTCAGAGCAAATCCCAAGGGGAGGAAGAACAACTCTTTGCGAAAAATGAAATTCAACATGACACAGCCATTTTCCAAGTAGTGAAGGTTCATATTTATTGCGGTATGCTCATCCTTGACACAGTGCATCACCACCCCTGCAAAAATCACAACATCAGCACGAGCTGCACAAAACCAAGCGGCTGCATCGCTGTGTCACGTCCAAGGAGCGTGAGACAATTCATGAGAGAAACTCTGGTGCTTGATGGCTGAGAACATGGGGCAGATCACACTTCACTGTCAGTGTGCCACTTCAAATAAAAAACTCAGCTCTTAGCTAAAGAGGGCTGTGTCTCAGGACAGTCAGCACATTTGGTAGGAAGCTTGGAAGATGCACAAAGTTTTTAAAGAAAGACCCAGGCCTCAACTACCCTGTTTGTAACCTTTGGTTGTAGGACAGAGTAACAAACAATTACTGTTCCTAATGGCACACTTATCTCTGTGTTTGGGTGGCAGTGCAGCAGCAGTGTTTCCTGGTCCAGCTCTACACTATCATCTGCAGGACAAAGAAAAATAAAACAAAAAAGGACCATCAAATCTGGCACTGCCTTGAAATAAACCAGCGTGGAGCTACAGCGTGTGCTCAAGCACCATGGTCCAGTCAAATCAGCAACTGGCAACACCCGAGTTAAAAATGCTATTTAACATTTGCTGGCTTAATTCATTTTTAAACTGGTTTTACTAAGTATACATGACAAAGGGAAAGTCAGACAGCTCCCACAAGGCAAGTCCCTGCTTCTTGCTTGCGGTGTGTTTACTCTTTATTCTTATGTGCAGCAAAAAATATTAACATTACACAAGAACTGCAACAAAACTACCAAAATTCAGCTACAGATGGTCACTCCTGTTTGTCCTCAAGCAGTTGTTACTAGGATGCTGCAGGGAACTGCTGAGCTTACCATACTCTGTGAAACCAGGGCCTCTGTTTTTCCACTTGTGCCTTGCCATTGCAAGAGGGAAGTTTCGCCTGGGCATAATCAGCATCCTGATCACTTTTTCTAAGCCATTGATTATAAAGTAGCCTCCCATTTCCTGGAAGGAGAAGAGAAATCATTTTAATACACTCAGAAACTCAGAATTAGCATTGTGAGTAAAAGAAAAAAAATGCCTGTACTATAAACGAAAACCAAACATTTAATGGGAAATAGCAAGACATGATTCAGCACTGCTTTTGGAAAGGCTGCACTCACACTTATGAAGTCTAAACGTAGCAGAGTGCAAGGAAAAAGATGCATGTTCCACAATTTAGAGGAAGAAAAAATCTTTGTGATCAATGGAACATATCTGAATAGCTGCCATTAACTTTTTTAAGTAATTAAAAAAGCTCTGAAGTTCTCACACTGAGTTTATAAACCAGAAGGATTTTCAGAGCAAAAGATTTCTGTCTGGTCACACACAAGCTTACTTTTCTGATTTTCTTTTGTAGTTTTCTCTGCCTTTTTTTGTGAGCTCAAAACGCAGTGCTAAATGAGTCTGTGTTCAATTATAGACAGCTAACATGTTACTGGGGAGACAGGGGAAAAGCTGCAGAAGACAACTGGGAATGGAATTGTCTCTTTCAATCTGTTCTCCAAATCTTTCTCTCCACAGAGTCCCCTTCACAGCACTCTCATTTGCTGTGCAGCTGCTGAGTTTCTATACCAAAACTGTAGGGATTGACACCAAACAGATCCCTGTGCTCAAGAACAATTTCTCAAGCTGCTTCATGGAGCCCCCATAAGCAATCTGCTTTCAAGAGAAAATGGGAAGTCAAACTTGAAACAAACTATCAATGTTCAAGCCCTGCAAAGAGAAGGTGACCTGACAAGTGGCTCAGGTAAAACACAGACTTTCCTGACCCTCAAAATCCCCGTTACCTCTTCCTCCTCATGGTGCTGCAGAAGGTCTTGTGGAGAAAAACCACAGAGGTTGCACAATTTGGACTTGACCATGATTGGAATGTACCCCAAGGGCTGTCTGATAGTCCCTTGGGGCATGTCATTCACTGACCAGCTAATGTCGGCCTAAAACAACACAACACCAACAGTGAGCAAGTTAAGTTGCCCTTTTCATCTTTCCTGCTACACCAACTGCACCTTTCACACAACCACAAGCAGTTGGACAGACTTGTAGCACTGTAAAATGGCAGCAATAATAAAAAAGAGCCAGTAGATTCATGCATAAAGATTACACTCTGGGAACAGTCAATGCGGGGTCACAGAAGAAAATCATACAAGGCTGGAGTCAGGCAAAGAAGCTGCTGGCTGAGTGAACAAGGTTGGTCTGGCTTCCTTTGCCTTCCAGACCCTTCAACAGAGCAGCATAAATATAAAAAGGCAGCCACAGGACAGGAAAAGGAAACTTCAGAAGATAACACTTGAAAGCAGAAGAAGACAGCAAGTGTCCACTGAAAACACATCCACACTACAGGCCTGACAAAATCCTTCCTTTCTTCACTCAGCACATTCATGAGTGATCTGAAAACCAAGAAAGAAAAGCATGCAAGAGAGAAAATTTATTAACAAGTTCTGGCAGTGTGTGTGAAGGAAAACTGCGGGAGCAAAGAATCCTAACTTTACATGCAGAATGATTGGAAGAGCTGCTGTCCTGCAGGAGAGAAACACTGGCACTGCAACACAGGAACATGGGTTTAACATCTGGGAGCAGCAAAAATGAGTAAACTGAGTCTCAGAAATTACTTGAAAAAGGGAAGGGAATGCTACTATGTCCCTTTAAATCCATGAGGCAGCCTTGTCTACACCTGAACTGATGACTAAGGGTCTACAGCTGCTCAGCAGGCTGGGGCTCACATCCCACCTTGGGGAAGTGGGAACATGGAGCTAAAGCAGCACGGTGGAAACAGGGAGTGATTACTGACTGTTTTCTGCTGAGCACGGGCAGGGAAGGGCAGGGGTTAACCTGTCCCAGCACAGGGCAATGCCTTTTCACACCAGGCACAGCAAACTGTTCTAACTGCTCCAAGCGTTCAAAAAAATCATTAAACAGACAATGGGGGGAAAAAAAGAGATGGGAAATAATTCAGGTAAGAAAAACAAAATCAGTTGTAGCTTAGGAAAATCTAAGATCCACTGGGAATACAGCTATGAACAATCTGCACTGCCCCACTTTCAGTTTTCAGATAAGGTACTGCACTTAGAGTGGCTTTTATCATGGCAAGGTGTACAGCTTCAGAGAAATAAAAAAAACGAAACAAAAAAGAAAATGAAAACAAGCAAAAAACCTGAAATCCCAAGCAAGAACTCCCTTGCACCAGGTGCCTCACATAAACAATCAGCTGAGACACAAATACATCATTTTAATAGAAAACAGCAATGTGCAATCCTTTCACACAGCAAAGGAAAATATTTGCTGGGGATGCTTCCTCCCCAGGCAAATTTCAAAGCACTTCACAAAAACCATGAACCTGTGAACAGGAGAGATTTATAGCTCTGGACTTGTGCATGGGAGCAACGCTGCTTCTGAAACCTGGATTCCCGCAGGAACAAGATCTGGATTATGCTGCTCTCTGGGATGACACGGGTCTCCAACCAAGCTCTTCCAAGCCGGAGAAACGGGAAAGAAGGGCAGCGGGGCCGACCACGACAAGTTTGATGTGCGGGGAAAAACAGCGAGGCCACACATCATCACCAACACCCCAGAGCCCGCGGGGGACAGCGCTCCCTGAACCCCCCGGAGATCGCTGAGCCGGGAAGGGACCTTTAAAAATACAGCACGGGGCTGGGACAGGGACACGCGTGTGCGGGGC